CTTGACCACGCCCAACCAGGTGTGTATCGCGATTGCGAGGACGAAGAAACCGCTCGCGACATCTCTGAACACGAGTATACAGAGTCAGTGTCTATCTCACAGACATATTGGACGGGATAATGCTTACCCAATTTGTAGGAACCAGGCCTGCAGGAAACATGCGCCAGTAGGTGCCGCGATCTTGTTGATTCGAAGCCAATGGAAGGAGATCGAGAAAGCGATTGATTGTTGCAGATCTGCGATTAAGAGGTTGTAGATGAGGATAACGTATTGGTTGTATCCGACGTATTGTCTGTAGTGTCTCCGCCACGATATCATTCGTTGAGTGATGAATCCGAGCAAGGCCGTAACTGATAATAAACTCATCATGGCGAATATGCCAAGGGGAATGAGCCCCGCCTTGTAGACGGGGGTGAGCGGATCCATGCTGTCCAAGGTTGGGTCGTACGGCTTGTCGAGAGAACGGTCTTCCAGGGCAGAGGTTATAATGGCCATATCGTAGGGCGCCATGGTTGCAACAGATCGTCGTATGCGAGTTGAAGCGGCCCGATAAGATGATCGGACGTAGTTCTGTTCTCAGCTCATCAAGAGACCATGGCCGGCAAGCAACAAATCGTCGAATCGCGCCTGCAACGAAGCAATTTCGGTCTCGTGCTCTGTAAGATCCAGTGACCGCCCCAAGATTTGTCGAGCGCCAATAAGCAGGCTACTGTGTGACAGGACGTTGTCGAACGGTCAGATAGGTTGAGTAGGTCAGGTGGGATGTGGCTTGGCTTTGTTGTATGCACAAAGGAGGAGTCAACACTAAAGGTATTCTCCGCGAGAAAGATCCACAGCTTAGGGCATGTGCGAAGGATATAGGAAATAATGTCAATAGATGCCAACAACTAGTCTGGGTGGAGCAGTGTGCCCTGATATGGACCGAACACATGAAAGGAAGGAGATCGTCCAACTGACTTCTTTACCGGGCCAAACGGAAATGCAGGTGCCCCAGACGCGGCATGTTGGACGGCGTGGACGGGTCCTAGACGATCGCTAAGCTTCTCAGCACGCTACAGTTGCAGGGTTGATGAGAGTAAGTTTGACATGGGCCATTGCGTCCAGGGAGCTTCCGTCCCCTGTCAATCAGCGAGTGTATTGCCAGCCGAGCGGACGCCCAATATTGGGTTCAGGTGCCCCTCTGATACAGGGAGACGACTCGAGAGACATGTCGTACTCGGGCCCGCCGGGCGACTCCACTGCTTGAGCGTAGACAGGCTGGGTGCTCCTTGTCAGAGACGAGTAAGCTTCGCTGTGCAGACACCAAAATGTTGTCGCGTGTGAGTTTCAAGCGGCAAAGGACGGAAAAGAACAACAACAATGCGCCGCCACCACGTGGAGCACGCCCCTGTTCTGCCTCCGGATGGTCTTCAGGGTCAGCAATGCCTGCGAAGAGGCCGAATGCGACAAAGATTTGCAGTGCCACAAAGCGGTGCCATCCGCGGTCTCGCCGTGCTGATGCGTATTCGCATAGTTTTGCGCAATTTGTTGTGTGAACGCCATGGTTGGTCTTTGATGAGGCGTTTGCCTCTGCCAACTGCGCCGCAGCTTGTGCGGTCCGGATTCCTTTTCGACGAGTCGTCCAACCTCCGCTGAGTCGAATGTGACATTGGCGTCTGCTTTTGCCGTGCTCAGTTGCGGGGGAGGGTCTGGCTGGGCAATTAGGCGACTGTGGAGGATGCGATGCCAGGCACACTGCCACTAACCGTTTGCGGTCTAGGCGGCTCTTAGCCAGGGGGTTGATTGTTGGAGAATTGTTCACCCCTTGGCATTCGTTGCGCGGGCCGAACTGGCATATCTCTTCGCGCTGCCGGTGGGTTCATTTGACACACCGTTATTCAAAATGCGTTCGCTGAGCCCACGAGTCGCGCGGATGCTGACTGCCGCCTCTAGATTACCACCGGGCAGCAACTACCGTGGTTCGTACCATCACGGACGACGGGAGACATGAGAACTACTTGCGCCATCCCGAATACCAGGCTTGCAGGCCGAGGCGGTCGGAGCGCTGAGTTGCGTCCGCATGCATACTCGTCCGCAATCAAAACTTGCAGTTCTGACGCGCCAGAATGTACCGCCCTGTTGGTCAGAAAAGCAAGCGTGCTGTTACGTGGACCGTCTTGACGCGTTCCAGAAGTTTCCGGCGTTATGCTGCGCCACGGAACGATCATCTATTGTTGGAGGACGATAGACAGGTTCATACATGTCCTACTCGATCGCCACGTGCAATTGTTTTGCGGTAGTGAAACAGCGTTCCTGCAGGAAGCTCGTACGCATGAGAACCGCTACCCGGGTGCAGAGTAGCTCCGTCATCATCGTATGAGTGGCGTATGTAGTCCACAGCTGATGCATTCTACTTCCACTACCAAGGCGTCTAAATGTTGAGGACGGCGGGGCTCCATAGTTGGACGGGTTCTCGGGATGCTATGCAGCGCGTCTGAGTACTTACAACAGGGTCTGCAAAGGTACTAACAGTGTCAATTCATAGTACCCCAGACTTGGCTTCTCCGTACCAAGGAAACGCATGACGGTAGAGAGCGTACTTGGACACACGACCGAGTTCCACTCTCTACCCGCGCTCGATCCAGCCCTGGAGATGGCCCGTAGGACCGGTACCATTCAATGTAAGCAGCGTCGAGACCACCTGGGCGAGGAGCCTTGAGGTACACGGGACGTACCAGCAGGACTTGAGTTTACCCCGCAAGCCGAACAACGGCGGGGCCGTCTACCTCTTTGGACCTAGTACATCGTGGAACGATGCGCGATACCTGGAAATCTGCAACACATCCCGTCTGGCACACCAATCGCGCCGACATAAAGGCTATATCAATGGCAATTATAGTTTGTGAAGCGACTCCGCGCCCGTCGCCGAACAGGACCGCGGCTTCGATACGCGAACGGAAGAGCTGACTGCGTTGAACCATCAGCAAATCTTGAAACCTTGGAAACTTGGAAGGGAGGCGAAGAGGCTTGACACGACAACTTGAATTTTCCGTCTGATCATAGGTGTGGCCTGGTAGAGATTGGTGAGCCGAAGAAATTCCAGCGTCCAACCGGTAGCACAACATTAGCCGGTCAGCCAATCTCTCCTTGAAGGATCTCTCGTATCTGCAAGCCACCTTGAAGACAACAAGATACAACGGCCATGGCTCAAGATCTGGCATGGCGCCAAGTGGCCTGCTTATAGCCGTAATGCACCCAGATATGAGGATAGTGTAAGAAACCGTGTCGCTTAGGCGTCGTTTACTAATCGTTAACAGTTACACATACTGCCGAGCAGCAGACCCGGTTGTCTGAATCCCCTAAATCTGAAAGTGTTAGACGGACGTCTGCTACCTGTCCGGGTTCGTAGGAAACGAACACAAGAGGCGCGCAAGCCAAGTCGTTTCAGCGATGATCTATTTGTTCTCTGTTACCCCAGATCCGGTCAACCGTCTGTGATCGATGGCGCTACTACTCACTACTCGATACCCGATGGTCACAAGCACCGTTTAGCTACTTTCATGCAACGACGGAGTAGCGAGAAGCTAGGTTAGCTTAGAGGCCTCGACCTCAAGACCGAGGACCAAGCCAAGGTCTCTTTAGGCACGATCCTACTACTACATAGCGCCGTGGCAGTCCGAGCTGAGCGTGAGATACAGGTTCCTTCTTCGTATCAGCTGCATCATCCCTCCATCACCACCGACTCGCTTGCCTGGACCTTGGCTATTTCTTCTCGCTGGGAGCATGCTCGTGTGGTGACTTCCCTTGCATACAACTCCCACGTAAGCCAGTGTAGAGCAAACAAGACGCGGCCAAGGTTTCAACAAGAGTCTGCTCACCACTAGCTGTTACAACTACGCCCTGTTGCTACCAAAGCTTTGGCGCTGTTTCCAGATAGCGGAGGTCACAGAAGCTCGCTACGGAAGTACGTCTGAGTGAGAGTGTTCCAACGTTGCTAAGCACCAATTGAGCAAACCATAGATGCCCCACCAACAAACGGCGAGAACCCACCCCCCACACTGTTACATTCTGCGCAACAGCTATATCAAACGTCGAGGGATATAGTTGGAATAAGGTTCAGTCAGGGAGACGTAGTTCAACAGCGCCAAGTCTGCATTGCTGTGGCGTGATTCCACTGGGGTGGAAACAAATATCCGTTTACGCGAAGTCGATCATGACCTCAATACGTATATCCCTATCTCATCTACGACCGACTGGCTGGTTGAATGTTCAATACAATACTACCGACAGGCTGGAACTGTGCAAGCATCGGTGTGAAGATGTTGACATGTCACTACAGCCAATACATGCTGTTGGCAGTAGGTATCGGAACTTGTCTTCAAGTCTGTCGCAGTCTGTGCTCGTACAATCTCTGTCTAGAGCTCAAAGTGGGTTCCTGATCACCAATCCAACACTGAGGGTCATTCTGGCGACTTACCAATAGCGCATGCACGCCGCTGCCTGGAGGTCGTTGCTGGGAGTGTCATCGCCTAGATTCCTGCGACGGTCGCCCGACGTCAACATGCGCTGTGCGAAATGAGCCAATGTTCTGCTTGAAGATTCGCATAATATTGGCTTTTGTCCATATGCGGGTGTGGTTCACGCCGCATCTTGCACGGGTTGCTCGGAAGCCAATGTCTGTCGAGTTAGCGATGGGTTTTTGCAACAAGATTGTACCTAGAAGATGAAGGTGGTGATGGAGAAACTTTGCGCACTGCGAGAGTTACACAAGCTCATGGATAGAATCACAAGGGGTCTTGCGGCTCAACGGTCGCGCCTTCTCAAGAATAGGGCTGAAGGGGCCCAACGCTAGCCAGATGCGGTAGCGTGTTTTCGAGTTGTTTGGCCGCGGTCTTTGGGTGACGTGCGCGACGACACTGAACGACACCATACCTACCAGCGCACCCGTCTTCTTAATAATGTATAATCTACGAGCCTTTTGAAATTTTGCGCCTGAGACCCATTCCGCCAAGCCATCCAAAATGGCAACCAAAAACGAGACGACGCGCATGCGCATCGACCGAATCAAGGCAGACTTACGGTCGACTACGACATGCACAAACACCACGGTGACGGCGCTCCAGGACTTACTGTCCGGTAAAGAGGAGGATGCACCGCAAAAGGAGAACGTCCGAGTAAAGGTGCAGGCTACGGCACGGCGGAGAGGCGCGACAGCAACAGCTACAGCAACGGCGGACATCACCAAGCAGAAGAACTCGACGCTTGCGCCAAAGGAGAAATACGTCCTAGCGACTGAAGTTGCCAATACGACGCTCCAGACACTCGCCGATGCGCTGAAGAACCCGCTGCCCGCAGTCGCTGCTCGCCCCCCTACCAAATCGAAGCCAACGACCGCCGAAGATGCGCGCAAGCCGGCTAGACCGCGACTCGGTCATACGACGAGCTCTTCCGTATCCCAGAAGCCCCTTCGAGAGCGATCCGTCTCTCAGCTCAATAACTCGCCCCAAAAACGTGCCCCGCGTCGGTCGTCGTCGTATTCGTCCTTCCTCGCACCAGGCCCAGACCCTGGTCTTCTCGCAACAGCAGAGTGCGCAAGGACGGCATTTGCATACTTGGGTACAACAGAGGCACAGAGAGTGCTGGGCAAGGACTCACAAGAATTGCAGTACGAGAATGGCGTGCTCGTGCTTATTAGCAAGCTTGTCGCACTGGGCCTAGACAACATGGCAGTCAAAGAGCTCAGAGGACTGAAGAAGAAGCTGCATAAATATCTGTGCCAGGATCCGGCAAAAGAGGAGCCTAAGTCTGGCCTACCGCAGCCGGGGACTGCAGAGAAGGAGAGCATTGCGTTGTTTCTCGACTTTGCGACGATCGACCCGAAGAGCCCTGCTGTGCCATTGGTAGCGAACTTCCAGATATACACATTGCGCATTATTGCGAAGCTCAAGAGGCCCCGGACTATCGAAGCCACATGGGAATATCTGAAAATGACCAACTCCTCGTCACCTATAAATCTGCTCTGGCACACTGCAAAGACATCGAACAGCCAAGCGAAGGCGGCGAGACAGTTGGAGTCCCTAGCGCAGACAATTCTCTCCCTATGCCCGAGTATATCGAGCGCAGAAGACTCTAACAATCTACAACCATCTGCGGAGACCGTACTTCTTCTACAACACTTGGCCTTCAGCACCCGGAAAAAGTGGTGGGGCCTGGCCAAGCATCAAGGCAACGTTGATCGGGAACTCTTAGAACCGTTTACAAAGTGCTTGGTTGCTTTCGCTCGCAGATCAAAACTCACATCCAGCAAGAAGTTCAAACTCGCGGAAACTTTGTACATCGACCTGGCAGGGCTCCCGACTGATTCCACTACACCGGCCGCTGCGAACAAGACTCTTTCCTCTCTAGCTCAAGCTGCGGGCTTGTCTGATCAGGCCCTCCGGTGGCTAGGGTCGTCAAAAGAGGCTTCGAGCCTTGATGCATCCGCAGCCAAGCAAACAACAAGAGCGATACGGATTGCTATCATTAATCTTGAGGCGTTTGTGAAGGGCGAAAAGAAGTCGGACCTGGAGGAAACTATTGCTACTGCACTTGATGTTTTGCAAGGAGGCTTAGGTGGATCTGTGTCCGATCTGGAAACCTTATTTGCGGAGGTGAATTTTCTGCGACGCGCTGCCACGCGATTAATCATTGCAAGTACGTCGAAAACCACGGAAAGTTCTGAAAGAACATCGATCGAACATCATGCGGTACCAATTATTGCAGCAAGCGTGCATTTCTTTGCCAGATTTCTCGGTACTGCATCGTCGATTGAATCAGACACAAAATCGCAAAACCGACACTCTGAAAGAATTAGCCTGGCCTGGAAATGTGCGAAGAGTACTGTTGACTCTCTGATGGCATGTTGCAAGCAGACGATAAAGACGCAAGACCAATGGCAAGAGCTTGATACCATTCTTCAGGAATGCTCACATATCGTACGCCGATTTGATGAAGAGATCGAACACGGTACGCTTCCGGCAGGAGAGAACACTTCTCTCGTTGGCGCGTACCTGATCAAACTGTCAAATGCATACTGGTCCCTATATTCACAACTGCGAAGAGCGCGGTGCAATTCCGAAGCCCTTGTTGTAGCCATGCAGCGCTCGATTGATCTTTTGCAATCCCGGTCGCCATCCGAGCGAGAAAGTGGGCTTCTTTCAATGAAATTAGAGCACCTGGGCGAAGCATTGCAGGATCTGAACCACATCGATCGTTCTCGCATCGCCTTCCAAGAGTGTATGCGAAATCACCTTACCGTCGAGGCGTTGCAGCAACTTTCGAAGGAGACATCTACAGCATCCCTGCACAAGGTTTTCAGCACTGATGGATCTTTCGACGCTCTCGTCCGGGTGTTGAAAACGCTCCATCACTCATTCATTCGATTTGGACCCCAAGAACCAGATGAGCTAGCCTTCTACGATCAGGAAGATTTGGAACCTGGAACGAGAGGAGCCATCTTGGAGTTACAGCTTGGTCTCTACCTGCGAACGTTGTCCAAGAATCGACAGTGGGACTCCAACCTCAACAAGTCGATATGTATCCTTGTCGAACGACTGCAACAGCTTTACATACCAGGAACCTTTCCGATCCGACATCTGAGGCTCTCTGTCACACTTCTTCAACTTTCCCAACAGGACCCGCAGATCTTGCCCCAGCACCTGACTACACTTGATGCCACAGACGACGACAGCGTGCGGACAGCAAGTAGTGAAGACGTAGGACTCAAGCACTATGAAGCCCATCTAAAAGCGCATCGTGATCTCAAGACCTTGATGCAGCAGGCTTCTCCTCCCACAGAAACCTTCAAGCAGTGCTTTGCGGCGTGGGAGTCTCTCGTCAGCTCTACGTTCTCATGGGAAGCACTCACAGATCGGGTCGACAATACGGAGACCTGGTTGCAAGACCTCCAAGCATGTCTTGAATTCCTCAACGCGAAAGGAGAGGAGTACGCTGCTCTACCACTCCTGCATTTTTTGGTCAAGGTTTTAGAGCTACGGAACGACTCTGATGCATCCGAGCTAATCACCACGCTGTGTGCCCTCGGTCTGCAGTTTCTCCACCTTGGTTACACCGGCAAGGCGGGTTTATCCTTGGCCAAGGCTGAGGCGTTGATCGAACGCCATGGTCCCTCTGTAGAGGTCAGATTGCAATGGCATATGGCGTATGCCGAGTACCTTGTGGGTATCGGAAATACCACCAAATGGTATGTGGAGCAGTGTCTTATCTTGACGGAACTATACTAACACTGGACAGTCTGACTACTATGACGAACGCACAATCTCTTGCGCTCAGCGATCGACAATTCATGGATCTCGCAAAGTCAACGACAACCCTCTCCGGTAGATTACGGTTCAACAAGATCGTGGCGGCTGCGTCCTATGTTCAGTCGCTTCTCGCCTCAGCTACTGGCTCATACAAGGCAGCGGCTCAGCATGCAAGGCAGTGCGTCACAGTCAATCGTCGCATTTGGGCAGCCCTCGAATCACGGGCCAATGCGAAGAAAATGACAACCGTGGACAGCAAGGAACCTATTGCGCCTCTTGTCATGTCTGTAACGCATGATGCTCTCAACGGGCCTGACTTCTGGTCCTTGGTTCCCGCGTTATACCGAGCCCTGATGCAACAGTCCCAGATCTTCGCCCATCAAGGTCTGTTACACGAAGCTATCCATGTCGCTGAACAGGCTGAAAAGGTCGCTTTGGCTACAGGATCCGCAACTCTCATCACGGACAACGCTAGTTGGCGCGCTGACTGTTGGGCCCAGAGCGGTAGACCCGACAAGGCTGAGACAATTCTCAATGCTCTGAGCCCCGATACATCCCGCAAATGCTTGTCTACTGCAGGTTACCATTCAGCTGTAGCCAGGATGCATCACTGGAACGGTCAATACGAGCAAGAAATCCAGTCTTATGACCTCATGGAGAAGCTTCTCCAGGAGCTGAGCTCACCCTCGTACATCAAGACGTTGGAGACTTCGTCACCCTCGGTCGATGCGCTTGCTGATCAGGTCTCTTCTATGACTCTAGAGACTACAGAGAGTGTCACGGCGAAGCCAGCCACCAGAGGCCGTAAACCCGCTGCCAAAGCTGCACCAAAATCGGCTGCGAGAACAACCGCCGGTGCTCGGACCAAGGCCACAGGGGCAACTGCAAAGGCCGTCACAACGACTAAGCGTCAGATAGGGAAGGCCGTAGTAGCCGAAGCTTTCAGTATCGCCGAACAGTGTTCTGCGTTGTGCGCTTTTCAGGCGAGCATGAGAGACCGAGCTGTCCTTGCTAGCCTTCTTCACGATGATCTCGATAAAGCCCTCAGCATTCTTGATGAGGCAGAGCAGCTTCAGGCCGGGCTGAGCCAAGAGGTGTCGCACATGTGGGCTATCTTCAAAGCAAAGCTTGCACAAAGTGCGAAGCAGATTGCTGAAGACTTCACAGTGAACACTCTGCCAGAATCGACCATCGCTTTTCCTGCGTTTGGTCTCAAGGAACGAAGACTCTCGGACGCAGCCACCACCAAGAAGGCAACTGTGGGATCTTTAGCAACTACTAAGACTGGTCGAGCGAAGAAGCAAGCCAAGGTGGACTTTATGGATACGCTTCGCGAAGCACGTGCACGACTCGTTGAAGCACACAGCCTGTGTGCTACCAATGGATCTAATCACCTGTTCCGCCAAACCTCCATGGCGCTAGGCCATGTCACCGTTTTGATGTCCGCCGTTTCTGGGACCGAGCTACCGGGCTCCCTCCACCCATTATACGCAGCCTACATGAGTGGTATGTGAGACACGGCACATGGCAAACATTATACTGACAACACTCAGAGCTCCCTAAAGTCAACGCCTTGCGCCTCGTGCAAGAATCAACAGAGGCAGAGAAGCAACAACTGTCGCGCGATGACTGCCTGCGATGGCCAGCCGCTGATTCATCGCATTTCGCCTTCAGCTCAGTGTCCAGCTTTCAGAAGGAGTATGTTGATATCATTCCGGAAACTTGGTCTGCTGTATCTCTGGCACTTAGTGAGGCCCGCGATGAGCTATTCATCACCCGGTTTGAGCGTGGCTTGTCTCCTTTCGTATTGCGCCTACCGTTGGCTCGCCACGCTTCGCGCGAGATGGACGAGGAAGAGTTCTCGTTTGAGGACGGCAAGAGGGATTTCGATGAGATCATTGAGCTCAGTGATTTCAGTACGCGATCTGCCAAGGACATGGCCTCGAGGGAAGCAAGACACCAGTGGTGGGCCGAACGCGAAGCTCTGGACACCCGACTTCGTGAGCTTCTTATCAACATGGAAAATATCTGGCTGGGTGGCTTCAAGGGCATCTTCTCTCAGCATGAGCGTCAGCCAGCTCTCCTAGCTAAATTCCGAAAGGCTTTGGAAGACATACTCAACGAGCACCTGCCTTCCCGTAAGAAGAAGAGCACTCAAAAGCGGCCAGTCTTGGATACACGGGTACTGGAGTTGTTCATTGGGCTGGGCGACGCTAACAATGAGGATCTTGACTTGGACGAAGCGCTCATGGATCTCATATACTTCGTTGTGGACATCCTCCAGTTCAACGGCGAGCGCAATGCCTATGACGAGCTCGATTTCGATGCCATGGTCGTGGAGACGTATGAAGCACTACGCGCCTATCACAGCGCGTCCCACAAGCTTGACGCTGGTTCTCGTCACACGATACTCATCTTAGACAACAACTTGCATGCGTTCCCCTGGGAGTCGTTGCCTTGCCTGGAGCCGCTTTCAATCTCGCGACTACCTTCCCTTGCTGCCCTTCGCGAAAGAATACTTTCCGCACGGTCCTCCACAACTCAGCAGGACGCTGCTCCGGGACATTACATAGCCACAAGTACGGGAGGTACAAGCATGCTGAATCCATCCGGAGACTTGTCCCATACTTCGAAAACCATCAAACCGCATCTAGACGAGCTTGCAGGCCCCTGGAACCATATCGCCAACCGCGCACCGTCCGAGAAGGAATTCGAAGATGCACTGCGTGAGAAGGATTTGGTATTGTATTTCGGTCACGGCAGCGGTGCACAGTACGTCAAGTCAAAATCAGTGCGACGTCTCTATCCCGGCGAGCAAGATGAAGGGGACAGAAAACCTGGCTGTGCGACCACTCTTCTCTTCGGTTGTTCGTCTGTACATCTCACTGAAAACGGCATTTTCGAGCCTTCGGGTATGCTTGCGGCATATCTTACTGCGGGCGCACCAGCAGTACTTGGCATGCTGTGGGATGTCACTGACAAGGATTGCGATCGTTTTGCCGTCAAAGCGGGCGAACTATGGGGACTATGGCCTGAGGCACAGGAAGATACGCCACCATCCAAAACGCCCGCGAAAACGCCCGCGAAGAAGGCGAAGGGCAAGGGTCGAGTTGCGCAATTGGCCGAGGAAGTAGAGATTGCAAGAAGCGTAGACAGTGCAAAGAAGGGAAAGAAGTCTGCCAAATTGGTGGATGATCGTTCGAACACGGGTCGGGTGCCGCAGAAAGGCGTTGGCTTAGACGAGGCAGTGCGAGATGCGAGAAAGGCCTGCTACCTGAAGTACCTGAACGGGGCTGCTGCAGTTGTATACGGGATTCCAGTGTATCTAGACTAGCGCAGTGAGGTCGGGCAAGACCACGGCATAAATAATGAGCGCATGAGGGGATAGTTCTAATAAGCACGAAAGAAGATCCTTCCAGTTGGGTCGCGCTCAGTAAACCTTATTGTGACGCGCGTTAACTTTGGTACGGAACCAACTCCGATGGCCTGGTCGGCGGCATGAGGGCCACGGTCTGCTGTCAGCGGGCGCGACGACGTGATCATACGATCTTCGCATCTCGGAACTCCACAATCTCGAGCGCGTCAATACGCCCGCTACACTTTCCGATCTTGCTCACGACGAAGTCGACGCCATGGCCGAACGCCCGGCCAAATCAGGGTCATCACGAAAGCGAGCCCTCGTGAGCTGCGACCGCTGCAAAATCCGACGGGCACGGTGCATACGCGAAAATGCCGAGGTGCCATGTGCGGACTGCAAGGCAAATGGCGTGGTGTGTGAATCGAAGCTTCCACGTAAACAGAGGGTCTATGGCAGTGTGGAGACCCTCAGCTTACGCTACAGAGCCCTTGAGTCGCTAGTCAAAGGCCTCTTTCCGGATGAGAATGTTCAGGACACAGAGACCCTGTTCAAGATCGCCACGACCAGGAACATTGCTATGCCCGCGAGCGACGACTTTACTCCCGCAGACATCTTCAGCAGTAGCAGTAGCGATAGACAGACTTCTTCGCTGGAACAGCAACAACAACAGCAACACTCATTGCAGCCATCGCCAGTTGTCCCATCTGCATACTTGGGCTCGCAGACTACCACGTATCCCCTGCACTCTGCTCGGCGCACTACTGCCTTGTCCACAAGCAAAGAACGCCTTCGTCAGCCTATAACGCAACAAGTATCTTCCCAGACTGACGAGATCATTCGTACGAATCGTGGTGCCTCACATTATTTCGGGCCGTCGAGTAGTTTCCGACTTGCATCGACTATCCGCACCCTCGCGTCCCGATGGAAGGCCGTATCAGGCGCCGACTTTCCTGGCCTCCGATCATTCACCTCAAACCCCTCGAGCCGATCGGGCTCAGCTCTCAAACGCAGCAGCACGAACCCGTCTGAAGATGAATTCGCTCCACCATCCTACAGTCAGCGTCCAGGTTCTAGCCATGGCAGCCGCAAGAGATCTAGGACAGAGTGGGAGGCATCAAACGATCCGTCGCAACATCATGATCACTCATCACGTCTAGATACTATTGGTGATCTGATACCCGCAAAGCATATCACCGACGCTCTAGTAGCAGTCTACTTCGATCACATACATGTGTACTTTCCCCTTTTCAATAGAACCACGTTTCAGATCCGGCTGGAGGCTACGTACTCACGGAAGACGCAGTTGTTCGAAGAGTGCAAGGATATGGGGTGGCTAGTTTCGTTGGCATTGGTGTTGTCGTTTGGCTGCCAGAAATCAAAAGCAAATGATGTCGACCAAATGAATGTACTTCGCCACAAGTTTCTCGCCTTCGCCAAAACCTACTTTCGGACGCTTCTGACATCGACTCGTCTGGACAATGTCCAAGCGCTCGTTCTTCTCAACATGCATCACCATAATATCGGGCAGAAGAGCAGCTCGTGGTTACTGATAGGTCTTGCTGCACGTATGGTACGTTATTTGCTTTACAGGACACCCATGCTCTGCTAACACATATCAGGCCATTACCATGGGAATGCATCGAGACAGCACGAACGTCCAATTCGAACCCATCGAATGCAATACGCGCCGACAAGTCTGGTGGTCCCTCTACATATTCGAAAAGACACTGTGTGGCATATTGGGACGCCCAACAGTGATTGATGACCGAGAGATGTCGATGAAAGTCCCAGACGCACCAATGCTAGAGCAGACGCGCATCAACGCAGCATTCATGAATCTCTGTTCCGACCTAGTGTCCACATCGTACCGCATTCGACAACGTGCCTATTTCGACAAAACTTCTGCCGAAGAGCGATCCCCGACCATCGCTGTCGCCATGGCCCTACTTCGAGAGTGCGACAACTTCTTCGCAAAGATACCTCAGCACATGTCAATAGAAGACATGCCAGGACACCCGGATCTGAAAGCAATGACATTATTGCTGCACGTCTACTATTACTACACGCGTTGTGTCATCTCCCGAGACTTTCTCATACAAAAGGTCGAGAGCAACGTCTGCTTCCTGGAGAACAAAGCGCCCCCAATTTCAGAAGACTGGTCTACAACCCTAATCCTGGCGGAGGACTGTGTTGAATCAGTACACAAAAGCCTCCAATGCATCACCATCGGCATCGAGCTGGGGATATTCGAGATTATCGGTTACTCCTGGCTAGACTTCTTCTTCGTATTCCACGCCGTGTTAATCGTATGCGCAGATTTTCTTGCACGGCCCAAGGGCCAAACCGATTCACCGAGAGACGTCGAACGTAAAGCGACAGTGCGCACTGTGCTCGACCAGGTCCGCGGAATGCAGAAGCTCGCACCTACGTACAAGACTCTTGGCCGGATTGCGCTGCAATTCGCCACAATAACTGGTGTTACTCAGGATAACGATTCGCCAACAGTACCGGATGTGCCAGAGGAGGGGCCTCTGGACAGTGTGGTAGACATGGCCGCCGAGGAAAGAACGGATAATGCCGACATACTTGATATAGGGAATGATTGGTATACAGACGCGACGGCCGATTTGGGATTAGACTTCTTCGACCTGAGTCAGGCGACACATCCAGGGTCATTCCCCATCATGGATCCTCCGTCGCGTTCTGAAAACACGGGCGATCAGACAGGCGACGTGGTGGACGATTGGACAGACAGGGCGCTAAAGGGGATGCACACGCTGTAGACACGAGGTCACGCGTTGGGAACCAGGGAAATTGCACCAAGATACCTATATTGCCGTCATGAATTAATTCGCAAATTTGGATGACATCATCATCTAGCGTGGTGTTGAAGCTTGGTGAGCGCTTGGCGATGCACGATCGACCGATAGCCGCAGCCAGTCAAGATCGGACCATGCCGCTTTGAGATTTCATGACGCATTTGTTCGAGGTTGATGTCGTGACAGCTGCAGACAAATACAGGCCCGCAGTAGCTTGCGCTCCTGCAGCGCGTCGCATAAGTGCTGAGCCTTTTTCTTCGATGCCACATTCAAACGACAGAACGCCTATTCTGCCCACCACGAATATGGCAGGCGGTAACAAGGATGGAAAGAAGAAGGTTCTGGTTGTGGGAGCTGGAGCGGCTGGTATGTTGAACGCGTGTATCGAGATGCATCGTTGTTGATTTGAGGCAGGAATGTCGTGTGCTCACCATCTTTCCGAACACCCTGACAAATTCGATGTTACCCTCATCGACGCAGTAGATTACTGTGGAGGCCAGGCATTTTCCATTGGAGTAGACAAGGAGCGCCATGGCGCCGAGTGGCTGAACCAAGGTGTTCAAGGAGGAAGCTACATCTTCCACCACACCATGACAATGTTCGCGAGGCAAGGCCACCACGCAGATCCAGTCAACCTCCAAGTTTCCTTCGGCAAAGACGACATCTTCTGGACCAACGTCTTTCCCACAGAGCTTCTTGCGCGCCATCAGAAGGAAATTCGCAGGTTCCATACCATGATCAAGATTGTCCGTTGGTTCGAGATTTTCTTCGCATTGATTCCGATCAAGATTCTATTCAAGATGTTCTGGTTTTCCGAAGAGTTCACCAACACTGTCGCCATGCCCATGATTGCACTTTTCCTGGGAACTGGAAACGAGACGCCAAATGTGCCCAGCATCATCCTAGAACGACTCTGCACTAGTCCAACGTACGGCATGTGGTATCCGGTAGATAAACGCAGTATCGCTAGCAATTTGCCGCCTATGGTCGTTTTCCCCAAATTCAGCGAATTTTACGAGCGCTGGAGGCAAGATCTACTCAAGAGAGGTGTCAATGTCAGGCTGTCGACGGAGATAACTCGGGTCGTGAAGCGAGACAAAACTGGTGTTACCGTTAGGTTGATCAAGCGTACGCCCATGCCTGATTCGCACAATCCCAACAGTGTCCACGTACCCTACGACGACGAGCACAATGCCGACGCCGACGCGCAAGAGAAGGAAGAGCACTACGATGAAATTATTCTCTGCGTACTTGCCGACACCGCAAAGCGTATCCTAGAACCCACCGCCTCCTTCCGCGAGAAGAAAGTCCTCGGCTCAGCGAAATTCTCTGACGACATCACCGTCACCCACTGGGACAGCGACTACATGCATAAGCACTACGAAAACTTCTACGACCCAGAAAAGTCCGCCAAAGAGCTCTCCGGCGCCGACCAAACAGCTCGCAACCAATACGCCGAGAAGAACTTCAAGCCCATGTACTACATCAAGATGTACCCGCAAGACCGATCAAAACTAGAAATGTGCTTCGACTGCACAAACTACCAAAGTCAATTCCCACCAGACGTCCCCTTCGACAAGCACATTTTCCAGACTATCTACCTCAACAAGGCGCGCGACGGCCATCTATGGAGCATCGACGAGATCAACAAAGACAAGATCATTCGCAAGGACTGGTGGCACCAGCTCTGCCACTCCTGGACCCATTACGTCTTCGTAGTTCCGTGGATGTGGCTACTTCAAGGACGAAAGCACACTCGTTTCGCAGCAGCATGGACGCTCATCAACGCCCACGAAGTCGCTGTCATGAGCGGTATCGCAGCCGCTGTTGATCTCGGTGCACAGTACCCCGCCGATCTCGAGCGCGACAAGTTTGCTTTCTTGAGCTTTAGGTTATATTATCTATTGGCGTATGGAAAGTGGTATAGCCGCAAGGCAACGAAGACGACGAAGGAGGGGCCTGGAAAGGACTGGGCGAGTGGGCTTTATGGGAGTGTTTATAGGGGACCTGGCGTCAGTGAGATTGATCGGCTGCAGTGGAGGGAGGAGAATGATATCAAGGGTGAGCCGGTTACGTATCAGTATCCTACTAATGCTGGGACGCGGTAAGCTTTGGAACAAGCTTTGTAACGGGAGGGGTGGAGAGCGAAGAGTGGGC